TGATTATAAAGTCGTGATGACATTTTCAATATTATTGTTACCTTGTTTTCTCACTTTGCTTTTCCTATGATATACGTAGTTTATGTTTATCAATTTATATTTTCTATCGTTATAAGAAGTAGAATAGTTAAATGATCAAACCGAAATGTGTTGCTGTCCGTGTAAAAATGAGGAAGGTTTAAATCAGTATTTTGCTCTTTCTGAAATTGTTAAAAAAATAAATAGTTTCATATATTTACGTATATTATACTCACTTGAAGTGAGTCACTTCCATATAACATATCATTGGTTATTTCCAAATATTTCGTATATATTTTCTATTATCTTCTATACCTCAAATAAATTATATAAAAAGAAACCATAAAAATTAATATAATAACTTTCACATAGAGCACACTAAAGTTTTTAAATTTGTTTAGTCTCCAACTACCATCGTTTCAACCATAGAAAAAAGTAACAACCCACATAGTCCACATCGCTAATCAAATCATAACTCCTCCTGCACGCAGATACCTTTATGCCCCTTAAAAATAATGCAGACGCTATTTCCAATGAAAAAGAAGGGTCTCCTCAAAGGTTCGCGCAGCTGAAAGGTTTCTTCAAGGAAAGAGGGGGTGCACGAACGGCGAACTGGTCAGAATTCGCCCAAACAGGGGGTCGTCGACGTGAAACAGAATCGAATCAGTCGTGTCCCCCTCGGATGATAGGGGTCGTCTTGATAAAACGAGCTTTAATCACCACTCGATTATCCGTTCACGGATGAAATTTTAATTTACGGGGTAGTAAAGTTTCAAAGAGTTACGCCGCCGTGGAAAATTCGTTCGCTTTATGTGCTGTCGCCTCGAAAGTTTCAGTTTGATCGTTAAGCCCACCGAAGGAAAACGATGGAAGCTAAACGAGAGACAGAGAAAAACGGGTGACCTAAGAAGAGGGACGGCGGTGGAGGGTACAAGGGGTGCAAGAACTGCAAGGGGAAATACGAGGCAGTGGGGTCTGTCATATTAAACCGGCGGATTGGAATGTTAATTAATACTAGCGAATTATCGATAAAGCTGCGAGAATGGAAGAATGGGAACGAAGGAAGAAAGGGAGGGATGGTACAACTATAATTCGTTCTGTCGTTTCATCTTTCACGCTTCTTTGTCGTTCCCTTTAATATCTTCTCCGCGTTCCCATCGATCTACGAGTGGATCAGTGGTTCTCAAACTTATCAATCTCCGTGGACCTCTGCACTTCTTAGAGCTGGGAACTTCGTAAACACTTTTTGCCCGTGTCCACTCCATCGAAGCTTACCTTTCGTGGATTTTGTACTCGACCTCGAGAATTTTTATATACATTCCAATTCTTGAGGAAATAGGGGGAGTTTATGTCATCATTTTGCTGTTTTTGAAATTGTTTAGGGAATATAGGCTTTCAAGGTAGATAGTTTTTTTTAGAAATGAATGAAAGCTGCCTTTGATTGAATTGAAATATGTTGCTGTTTGTGTAAAAATAAGGGAGGTTTAAGTCAGCATTATACCACCTACCAGAAGTCGACATAGACTTTCCAGACAACCCAATAATATTTTTTGGTTTGAGAATAATATTACTGCTTTTATTACAATAAATTTAATAAAATATTGCTTTAGCCTTTTGACTAAAAGGAATGGTCTGAAAACCGTGGATCGAGACGCGTTGGGATAGTTTATACCGTAATGAAGTTTTGACGTTTGACGCCTTTGCTTTTGATGAGACCACTCCAACCCTTGATTCATCGAACGTCCCGTGATCCAATACGTATTGAATTGTGCGATTGCACGTTCCGCTGATCCCATTGTCTGCTTTATTGACATCTGCGTTTGTTTGACAGTACAGTATCAATCAGCTCCAGAACGAGTAGTTCTTGATATTTTGATCTCTCGTTTTGACTATTTCGACATGCAGCTGAACCAATCCACGTACGAGATTATTAAGTTATCCAAAAATAACGCGATGGTCTTTGAATCGTGTCACTAATCTGCTTTTGGTCTAAAGCGTCTAAACCTTCTTTTTAAAATCAGAAATTTTTAAGAAAATTATGCATCGATACAACGAATCGAGATAGACTATAATTGTTTTGTTATTGAAACAAAAATTCTTCAAAAGAGTCCGAACATGTTTTATTCGTGGTTCCATTTCCAATTCCAATTATTCTCTGAGTAATTAATTAAAATGTCGCGAGAAGTACGCCGAAATTGACGAGCTTTTCGGTCGATTTTACATAATTAATTCAACCAATCCGTTATACCACGAAAATAATATACACTCTCCGAATGCAGTGTTGAAGTAATCTCAAATAATTAATATCATAAAATGAGCAAGATTGAACGTTTTAAGTTGACGATAAATATTTCATTCATATCCACGAGTGAAGTCAATATTTTAATGTGAATTTTGAAATGCGGATAATTCAGTTCGTCGAAATAAATCCAATTTAACGAGAAGAGCTTCTGTTTTTGCGACAAAAAATATGTTCATATTTATGACATCAATCAGTATGGAAAGTTGGAACAACCAGCCTCCTTAGTGATTAAATTAATTATCACTTTCTTTATACCATATTCCAAAAATTCCTTTAATTTTATATATTTAAAAAGATTCCGCCACGTATACTTTTGAGTCACGTGTAATATTGTCAAAGCTTAGAACCTCTTATAGAGGTTATCAAAAATATACTAATACATTCAAGTCAAGAAATTCTGATAAGGATCGAATTTAAATTATTACATTTCAATTAGAAATCGAATGTATGCTACCGAATTTCGTGCCAATTTAAACGTTCAAGATGCTCTGTGGAAAAATAACTTTACCAGGAAGTATTTATGAGTTCTCAGTAGTTGGCAGAAATAAAGGCCGATAAAGAAACGCTGAGTTACGGCTGCATAAATTTCGCGAATTTCGGCCCGCCATTGTATGACATCAACGATTGCATCCTAGCAAAGAATTATTCGTCCGAAAACTTATGAGTGGTTCTGGACTGACTGTGTATCTCTGCATATGACTGGGTCATTTCTGCGGCCGCGCCCCAACTCGCACTGAAAATATACGCTGGCGTGCACGTGAATTTTTGTGATGCACTTGAACTGTAAACTTCGTTATACGTCAATCTCAGCCTTGTGCTTGTGAACGCACCGTGTACCGGTTCGAAACATGAAATTCAGATATGAAATTCACGAACTTTCGTAACACGGAATTCATTATTTCTCGATATCGTGTATCGTCAAAGCGATGAATGCAATTAACTTCGCATAAGGGAACCTTCCACGATTAATTCTATCGAAGTAATATTTGTTTTGATCGGGTTTCTTTTCTTCTGGGTTTGTACGTAGGATTATACATGATTTTTTATTTCACATTTATTTTATTCTTAATTATTTTGGGTGTTAATTTATTTTTTGGGTAACGGAAATTATTATATTCAGGAACAAATTTTACGGAATTTTCTAAACAAACTATTATTTATTTTAGATATTACTTACATTTATTGTATACAAATTGAATTGTATAATTCGAAAATTCGAAATAATTTGTACTCTGGCTGAAATGTAGCAATACCAACAACGTAACTACTATTTGTTTGAACCAACGACCCATGACTGGAAACAACCTAGCAATTCTGAAAATAAATTTCCTATTTTCGTATTACATATCTCGAACACTTTCTAATAAATAAAAAATATCAAAAAAGAATTTAATTCAAAGTTTTACCATTTTTTGGTATGTTACAATATGCTGAAAACAAATTTTCACCGAAAAATAGAAGCGGAAATTTCGAGTAGAGAATTGCAGAAAACAGAATTGCGTCGAATTGGACTGGAAAAATCCATGAAATATGCAATAGTCTAGTGGTTGTATGACTGTAGTGGGCGCCACGGATGAAGAACGCTTATAGTGTAAATAGAGGCAGACTAACGATGGAGAAAGTATTCTTCTTCTCCCTTTCCTTCACTTTTACCAACTTCTTTTCGTCCGTTCTTAAAGCCATGAAAGAAAAGGACTTAGCTTTTCCATGGACAGTACCGAGCCGAATCGAGCACCAGTAAAAGTGGAATTCTGAAATATTAATGTAACTTCCGTCCAACGCCGTAAGCCGATTCTTTGCTCTTCTCCTCCATCTTGTTTTTCCTCTTTCTCCTCGTTTTTTAACGGCTTCTCGTTTCTCCTCGGCGCGCTTTCCGGGGCAATCTCCTCGAATAGTACACAGACTCGTCGTCGTGTGAAACAAAATTTGAACAACGTTTCGGTTCGTTATTTGTTACTTCCACTTAAATTGGCGATTGTTATTAATAACAACAGTATGTATTGTACATTTTGCATCAGACTTACTCCTTTGTAAATAGTTGAAACCGTTTGAAGCAGATAATAACAGTCCGTCCATCAATTCTTGCAAGAACAGTTTAAGTAGAAACAGCGAGTGATGGTCAGACACGACAGTCAATTCGCTTTTGTATCTGATCGACTCTTGAAAATAATTTTTCTCTTTTATTAGGTAGTAAGGCTCGTATGGATAAATGCTACGGTAATTTTTATTCGCAATAAAAAATAATTTTTCCTGGTAACTCGGGCGATTTATTAACATTTGAATACAAAAATGACCCGTTCAAAAATGTCCTCTGAAATAAATTATTTATTATTCAATAGCGGAAAGAATTTTGATGTTTAATGGTGTTAATCTTTATTATTCAGGAAAATTATTATAAATGTAAAAAGTTGACTATATAAAGTGCTTTGACACTTAAATTTAAAATTTTTCGAAAAATAGAGTTAATCAATTTGTGCAGTGAAAGGCTCATATATTGAAATGAATATTTTCGATGTCCCACTCATGAAATATATGAATGCTGCTCTTGTTTCAACCAGTTCCTCTCAGACTTCATTAACTTTTAAGAGACGTTTATAGTGACAGTCATTGCACGACATTGCACCTATATGTGAAAAGGCACCGGCTGACGTTCGTTTTTTTTTTCGAATGCCTGTTTCAGGAAGGTGAGAGGGGTTACTTGGAGGGGCTTGCTTCAAGATATGCAGACCTCTTCAGAACACATTACGGAGACGTCCTGGAGCCACTCGAGGAGCTACGCCGCCGTGAAACAAATGCTTCCCCCCGAATGCCCAACACTCAACTCACCACCAGTCATTCACAGCCCATTTACGTGCCTGGAAAATACTCGGTGAGTAAATCCGTCTTTTTTTCTCCTACCTTGATCTCGGCTCTGTCCTTTCTATTTATCTTTATGAGTCTCTTTTATTTTGCCCTCTTTGTTCTTTAACTCCGTCGGAATTCTCTTCTACGTACGTTACCGTAATTACACCTATTTCACGGTCTCTATTGTTCGTGTTTCACCGTAAGGCGTTCAGAGAAATTAGTTCACGTTGAATAACACGAACAATTTGTTACAATTAATGCCGAGATAACGTGTGATTTTTGTTGGAAACAAAAGAATTTGATATTATTCTTGTCCTCAACAAGTGATGTATTTGTTTTTAATGCTTTTCAAAACAAAATAAAAATATTTTTCCGCTCTACAAAGAATACATATTCATCCAACGTGAATCCTATACAATTTTCGACCGTGCAGTTCTATAAGGAATAATGTTTAAAGAACCACAACTATCGTACGCTTCCAACATGGCGTATCCCTTAATCGAGACTCTACACATCGTAGCAAAGACGTTATCGGGCCCCCCCTTCCAGTTCCGTTAAATGATAGCCTCTAATGCCACGCAAGCAGAACTTGGTGGCTCTAGCCGTAGAAAGAAGTAAGAGCAAAAAAACGAGAGAATGTTCTCGATTTTTGTGCAGCCCTCGAGCTGTCTCAGCGACAAGGAGGAGGACGAAATCTATGGGTTCGGATACGGAGTTTTCAGCAGGCAGATGCTTCAGCATCGACAACAAAAGCTTGCACTCGCCGCACAAAATACCACTGCGATGACGCCGGCTGGACTTCAACAGCCTTATCAAAGGTAAGAATCCGTTTTCATGTTGCACGGTCATTACCGTTTTTATAGACCATTTATTGGAGACGTAAATGTCCTCTTCCTTTTACGGATTGAGGAAGTAACGATACGTTCATAAATCGGGGTTAGGCGCATTTTATTCGAATGAAAAATTATAAATAATGCTTGGAGTAAATTATTATCTGAACTCAGTTGTCGAATTATGATAAGTGATTAGACTTAAATAGAATTATATTTTAGCAAGAATGAACTATTTTTAATTAATTTTATATTTCTGAATTTAAAAGTAATTACTCGCCAAGAATAACAAAATCTTTAGTGAAGTGAATAATTAGGAAAATTAAGTAATCTGTAATTTGTTATAAAAACATTCATGTTTGCTCTGTTATCTTAAGATCTGATAGCGAATTGATGGCGCTTGACAAATATTAATTTATACAGACTAATCATAAAACTAAAAACACAGATCCTGAAACAACATCAAAAATTAAAAATTGTCCGTGTTAACTGTAAATATGAGAAATCAAACAAACACTATTACATCTCACAAAATATTCTAATACGCGGCATGTTTGGTAATGTAATTTACTGTTCACTTCCAATGTATGCTAAATACATATAACGAATTGTGTACACATTTGTTTATTCGCAACTTTCATTCTGCTCCCTCCGCAAGCTGCAAATCGTTAAGTCTATTATTTCACTTCGAAAAGTAGTCGGCACCCCGAGTTCCCCGTGGAATACTTTTCATTCTATCCGGTAAACATGTTCTCAGTTGATGGTGTTAATGAAATATAAACTAATTGAGGCCGTTACTCGTAGAATAAATGTATAAGTGGATATCGGAGTTTATCCAATTCCCGTGTGTAAGCAGCACAAAATTATTTTGGGGTAACAATCGATTGACGAGCGCTTGACTGAGTTAATTATACGCCTCTGTACATTAATTCCATGGATGGCACACGATGAGTAAATATTATACGGTAACGCGGTCCACATTGATCGTCCTGATGATCCATCGCAAATTCATTAGGTTTTCGTAAAAATTTCAAGCCCTCTTTTACTTTCGATAACAAGTTTCAAAAGTATGTGCGCCATTTCTATTAACCGTGTACAGCAAGGATAATTAGATGAGCAGCATCACTTGATAATGTATTTAATTTTGTACGAGATATATAATTCCTTTGCATTGAATCCTTAACGTTTATAATCTGCTTAAATATAACATTGGCAGATCATTTCAACATAACCAATTATAAAATATTTCATAAGAAAATATCGTGTCTCTCGTTATCAGAGAACTTGCTGTATATTTACCCTTCTACGCGTAACTTCGAAATTAAAACTAACCTCATCTAATTACGTGCAGATTTCGTTGCACTCATACATGGTTAATGTCCAAATGAGAATTTCATTTAATGATTAAAATCCAGTAATTAAACGTTGCATTCAAAACTCTCAGAGTAATTACAAGCGATATTGAATTTATCTAACTTTTACGTGTATGGAACGTGAATTCCAGATTGTAGATATAATGTATCGTTCAGAAAGTTCACATTTGCACCAAAAGAACCATTTCACTATGGTCGTGTAACAAACTTCATGATGCTCTGCAACACAAACACAGAATGGTGGTGGGCCATTGCAATTGGCGTATTCACGTTCGCCAGTGGAAACAGCTTCTACTAATTAAGTTTTTACGAAAGGTTATGTTTCGGAGGATGTTTATCCTTTCACTGTAATCTTTTTACTCGGTTATCGCATCTGATAAGTTAAAGGATCGCCATAGAGCTCATTTGCGTCGATATGGACGTGCTGAAGTGACGAATGGGTCGCGTGCAATAATTATTCGAGGCTATACTCACGAGTGCGTGATGCGCATTTGTCACACCGTTAATGATGCATTCTACGACTGCAAATTAATCACAAAACCTTGAATAAAGAATATACTTTCTCTGCTACTGTAATCTCATGAAGAATTTCTCCGTCGTTAGTAATTGGAATTTTAAAATTGAAAATTCTTTAAATTTAAGATTAAAGGAGAAACTTGGAGCTACTTACAGTGCTTACAAATTTGTAATAGCATAAATTGTTCGTTTAATTTTGTAGAGAGTATTTTGTATTAATAAGAAATTTCTTTCATTTTTTCGTTTTTTTTATTTCATTTTTATCCTTGTTGATTGATGTTTTGAAGAATATTAGTATAACAGTGTAATTCTGGTAGCAGTTAATTTATGAAAATTAAAATTCCACATAAGGAGAGGTACCTTTTTGAACAAAATTTGTATACTCAGTGTTCAAAGCTATTTAAATTCTCGAGCTACAAACAACAGACTTAAATTTAAAACTTTTATAAACGACTGATAATAGTTAATGCGGCGAGATTGAAATTTCACGAACAAATTTAATTTTTTGGAAAACATTTTTAAGTTTGAAACTGTTTAAACTCTTAGGCTGCAAATTGCAGATTTAAATTGAAAACTTTCATAAACGTCTGTACAGGTTTGACACAGCAGTGACGAACGCCGCGATTCGCACATAAATCCAGTCGTTATAACAAATGTCTCGCACGTGATTATACTCGAATCATGTTAATGCGGCATACCGAATACGTGCCGTTTCTATTTCCATGTCCGAATGTCCGTCCTGCCGTTGACTATAAATGTGTCTATAAATCTTCTGACAGCTAACGAAATGGTAAAACCTTTTATTTTACGAGTTTGATGATTATGACGTATTCGTCCTAGGACCATTAGATGATTCATCGCGTCTTAGGGCCATGAATGGAATGTCAGCGATGAAATGGAACCCATCCACGCGTAAAAAATCTCAGGTCGTTACATCTATTGTCTTTTCAAGCGTTCTGGTCTAGTAGAGGTGGTCGCCAGCTCGTTGCCCATCAACAATGACTTTACTCAATCGTGTTAACTTAAAGTGGCAGAAGGAAAACTTGAGTTTATTGCTCAATTTATTTCATTTCTTTTCGTGGACCGCGATACTGAAACTGTATCAAGCTACATTGGGCAACTTGGCGATCTTAATCTGTTAACTGAAGCAGACGACGTTGGAACGTCGTTTTTATTTGAATAGATGAGTTCTAGGTTGTCTAATATTTTTCTCAATGTCTTATTTCTTTTCTTCATTTTACTTGTACAATATATATGTAATATATTTTTCATAGAAAAGTACAATACTTTTATTTCAAAAATATTCCCTCCGGCTTTATCATTTAGCATTCCTTACATTAATTAGAAAATTTCTAAAAGTAGCCGAATGAAAGTAACTAGATACATACAATAATTGGTGTAATCTTTAAGGTTAGTGACTAGCCTAATAGAAGCCCTCCAGGACATACGGGAGAATTAAAGTTTCATAAAAAGTTTTCATTAAATTTACATTTGTAGTAAACTATGAGGGAAGTTCTTAATTAGAAATAAACAATTAACATTGTAACATAAAGTTCTGTTTTCATACTGGTGCTAGGCACTAGTTTGCAACGAGAACTTCGTCCTCTTGAGACTGCGTCTGGAGGTTCTACCAAAAAGCTTTCATACCCTGCTTCCAATTAAACGTTAGCTTACTGTAGACTGAATGCCACAGTACCCTGGCGTGGCCCCATAGGTTATTATTTCGTAAAACTATTGTCGAAACATTTCATTGTCTCATAACTGGGTATTTTCATGAATCCAACTATATACTTTATAATGCCTCAGTAAGTTATAATAAAATAAACATATATTAGACCTTAATTTATTCCCATTTAATAATAAATCAAACGACTATAATAAAAATATATATATATTATTTCTTCAAATCTGGGACATTCAAATTAATCATTCATTGAGAAAAATATGTACAATATTATTTTGATATAATACACGGTGCGTGAGAAGTACCAAGTGCGATTATACTTCCATAAACGTTTCCCTATTGCTTCAGCGACTGTACCTAGTGTCAAATTACGGTTAGCTAATAAACGGACATTATTTATTTGACTGTGATCGGTAGAACACTCACGAATCTGTTGAGGCAAGGGACCACTCGGGGCAGTCGTCCATTACAGATGCACCAACGATAGGAGGAGATTGGTTAGAGGATGCATTGAGTGGTCCACGGACGGTGGCAGAGGAACCTAAAGCAGAATTGCATCGCAGTTTGTCTGTTAAGATGTTAGCTTTTCATCAAAGACCGCCATTAGTACGCAGTTAGTACTACAGAACGATGGGTCCGGATACGTGGATGATACATCGCCATCCATTGCCAAGTCTCTGGCATGTGAGCCCGCTGATTGCTTTGTAGGGACGATCAATAGACTGGGGACCGCTGGATCGAACCAATAAGGCGATTAGTCTTACTGAACGCGACCCTTAGGCGGAAATCATTCTGCGCGCATTCCAACGTAATCTACTATATGGGGATCACTCTGGTCTCCTCTTCCCTCGCGAATACCCGGGATACTTGGACAAATACCGCGTGTAAAGCAAACGTGACAGTTAGTTTCGCTACTTTCGACAGAATATCGAGCGTTGTTCCGTTGCACACTTGTTTGTTGTTCCCTGGGTCTGTGTATCTAACGATTGTGAAAGCTATTCTAATACAAATCACATTTAGTAATGAATCAAATTTTTATGCATTTGATTAAATCTCCATGAACAGTTTCAAACTCACTAACTATTAAATATAGTTCTATAAGCGCGTTAAGATGTGTGTTTCTATATAAGTTTAAACAGAAATTTTAAAGTTAACACTGACGACAAGAATAAATTTAGCTTGGAAAAATCTGTTTTCATAGAGAAGATTAGGTGATATTAAGTATGATAAGAATAGCAAACATAATAATATCACATACAATATTATTTTAAATATGTTCGAAAGGATGTATTTAGTAACATGTAGTGTATTCTCTTTAATCACTAGCATATTTTTATTCTAATCGTAATATCTCTTTTTTCCAGTTGTCTGAGCCCGAGGTCTGCCTTCTTCTACGAGTTCCCACCTAATGGTAAGTCGTTGAATAATCTTCAGAGATTCATTTTGTCTGCTTAAATTCGCTAATCCATTTTCTTTAAAATTCAATGTAAATTTATTAACGTATAAGATTATAAACTTCTGGATATACATTATAATTTAAAAAACAATTATATTCGAAAATCTAATTCCTAAATACTCATAAAATAATAAACGTCACAAGATTTCCAAAATAAATACTATCCCCCTACAATGCAGTTAAAGTGAAATATCCTTCAAAAGTTTTTGTTTCCATCTTTCGCGATATTCTTCAACGTAACAGCGTAATTCGTTGTCACATCATCGATGCCACGCCATTGTAAGCCGAAGTCCAATGGACTCCAATAGAACAGACAAAGAAACCAGAGATCTGGTGGACAGTGAATGCAGCTTGGATTATTTAACGCGCCGACTAAGACTTTGCTGCGACGCATATATTCGCCGAGGCTGGTATAGACGCTTATTCCAAAAGGGAACATAGCTCGTTTGTATACGTCGCTCCCGGTGAAATATATATAAATGGTCCGACAATAGAACAGCACCATCTTCGTTCGTGCTACCATCCAAGGAGACTGCATCGTTATGCAGGCCTCGCCACGCGTCTTTGAGACTCGCTACTGCTGGACCAATGCATTTAATGCATCCAGGTGCTTTTGTGCGTGTTTTCTGTGTTCTGGATAAGGATTATATCCTCTGCCTTATATGTCTAGACGACGCGATGATAGAGTCAAGCACGGAATATGTGTTCATAATCTTGAACTTGAATTAGATGAGCATGTGTTAATGCAATTCCAGAGGTTGGGTCAAAATAGACCAAATCTTTTTTCTTATCGCACTATCTGAAGTCAGTGAATGAATGTCAAATTCTTTTGCAACAGTTCTTAAGTCTTCAATATAACAAAATAAATCTCAGGTGGTTCGTTCTTCAAATAAACAATGCACCATTATGAACTTCTTATCGATAATAACTTCTGTAATTATCATGACCCGTATCTGATTACAATTACCATAGTTCAATATTCGCTGTAACATTCTCCCGCGACAGAATTTTCACACGTGTTTCACAAGGCAAATATTTACATTTCGTGCTTCGATCGAGCATGCTGTCACCAATTAAAACTTACAGTTTAATTCGTGTGCACGGAATGCATTTTTCAATTTGCACGCGTTGAAGTTACATTTTGAATAAAAGCATCGTTAATGACGAGAGTCCGTCGAGCGTGACAGGAATCGAATTAACAGAACCTTTCATCGTGTAATTCAATTCCTCGTCGTGATTAATTGCTATTATACGCTTTTAATCCGCACGTTTGTTACCATCAGTTCCCACGGTGGAAAGTTGTCGTATTATTTTTATTGAACTTCGCGATTTCAAAATTCAATATTCATTTTCGATTCCTGATTTGACGAGTGCCATCGATATTTTCGACACTTCGAATTGGGAGTACTTTTAATCGTTTATGGCAATTTTTTATTACACTTAAGAGGTCATTCGAGATTATTAAAGCATTCCAGTCATAGGGGTTCAGAATAGGGGTCAAATAATATATAATTTAAGGGTTTGAAAACATCTCATATAATAAATTACAGAAGCAGCTGAAATTGTTCGCCTTGACACAGAAAGTATCATTATTGCTGTCTGACATACTTTTCTCGAGATGCCAGCTAAACATTTTCTTAGTATTTTTATTAAATTTATTCTCCATCACTTCAAACTTGACAATATCTCTGATGATTTATGAAAATATTATGCATCATGTCGTACCTTAATAAAATGAGTAAACACTCGATGGCTAACAAGACCTGGGAAGAACGTATCAGTCCGGGATTGTAATTCGAGAAAAGAAATAGACAAATCAACGCCAGATTTCCACGAAAGTAGCGATAAAGTAGAAACGTCGTGGAACGTGGTTATGCAGGAGATAGACATCCAGGGCTGCAAATAAAATCAAGAAGGAAGCCCACATCTTGCCGTTGGAATTTTTCGAGATATCGAAAAACACTTTAGATTCCATATTGGAGAGGCGGTTGGCACGCGAGCCAAAGGAGTTTGCTTTTATATTTCATTTCTATTGACTACACCCGCCATCCTCGCCCCATGGAGCCCCTCTTTCCTCCAACGATATGAATATATAATTAAGGCCAACTTCTTCTCGCGCTTCCCGTAGACATATGCATCTTTAACGACAGTCATTTCTTCGCTGCTTCGCCATACTCCTTTCTTCTCTTCCGTTTCACACTTGAATATCTGTAACCTACTTAGATCCTAACACCGGCGAAAAGAAATTCGAGTTTCTTTGGTGGTATCGAGCGAAGGTGATTGATTTGTTTGGTGTTTCTGCAACTTACATACCTTGGTACAGATAGAAGGAAAATCGAGTTTCTTTCGCGGTATTGATTGAAGTAGAGTGATTTCGTGAGTATTTTCCGCAATCTACTTAGATCTTAACACCAGTGGGAAAGAAATTCGAGTTTCTTTTGTGGCGTTGTTTGAAGTTCGGTGATTTGGTGGATTAGACTTATTTGGAAATGATTTGCTACATACAAAAGACATTAGTATCCCTAAATGCCAAAGAATAAAAAAAGGTTTCAATTAGACTCAGTGGAATGAACGTAACTAATTATTTCATTTTTGTCTCACGTAGACACCTTACGTAATCCTAATCGGACTGAAGCTAAGACGTGCTCTAAATGGCGCGCGTTTAAGGATAATTCCACGTAAGAGGCGTCGATGTCGGGCTGTTGGAGCCTTAGCATTTGTCAGATTGTACAGCCCAGCTACCGAATCCCGGCGCAAACCTAACCTAAAATTCGCGGAGGCTTACCAGAATGCGCAAACACACTCGCTCGGGTTGCTTGCTTGGCGTCAACTGTGACAGAGCAAGCATGTTTGTTCTAACTGAAACCCAAGCGTTGGTTGTCTGTAGCAGTGGTATAGGAAGAATACATTTACAGTGTGCCTCATTTACATGAAACCTCTATAGCAATATATGTATATTCTCCTAACAATCAGACACTGTCTATGTCTGATGATAGGATCATTGATGTATCGGAAACATATTAGAGGCGTTCAATTTTAATTAAAAGAACTTGTTCTTTAGGGATGTTTCAATGTTGAAAAATAAATACAAAAATTTGTTGACACTCGTTTTAAGTTATCCTCGAGTTTACAAAATTGTGTACTCGAGAGAAATCTGATATATAAATTATGAAGTATCTGGAAATGAAATTATATAAGAAAATAATATCAATTTTCACGATTTCTACATCCTATTACCGTAATAGTGTTTCTTATTCGTATATTTCTTTCGTATGGTGCATGCGAATGTACTAAGATATATTACAACATTTTTACTCGAAATGAAATTACCGATAAAAGTATTATCGGCGGATGTGCATTCCCTTTTAGTGGTTAGGCATTCCACATAAAAGCCTATCGCGCAAACAAGTACGTGGCGCAGAGGTACTCTTGAGAGGCTAAAAAATTAAGCTTTCTATATGAAAGTAGAGATGCAGCCCTTAATGCGATGGAGACGATAAAGCGGTATAAGCTTATCTTTCTTAGTGGCGCATCAATCGAAGATGGAAGTAGTAAAAAGGTACGAGTATATGCTTTTACCGTCATTCTTTAGCACTTTACAGCTTATATCGGTCGTATTTCATCTAAGTATCGTAAAACAAAGCACCGCAAATGAGAAAACCCGGAACTTCCTGATGTCCCTTAAATTTTCCTTTACACGTGTGAAAAATGTCTTCTCATAATATAGTTAGAATTCTTTGTAAAACATTGCTACACCTTCGATGGTGTCTTTTCACTGGGAATTAAAATATTAGAAGCAACATATTTATTGCAAAAGTAGCCATAATAGAACCTACTACAATTCGTTACTTAATTTAATTTTGTATTCCATTGTAATTGAGGCTTCCGGCTATTCAATTAAAATTGTGTATTTATGTCAATGAATATTGCGTTCGAGAATTGTTTTAATTTTATTCAAATACAATAATGTTACATTCAAACATTTTTTAAACTTTATCATCCTAACGTCTAAACATGAAAATAATTTAGAATGTCTTGGTTATTCAGCCCCTAATCCATTCAGCCATTGAAAGTTCGAGGCGCGAAATGTTTATCCAACACTAACTACGTAACAGTTTTTCTTTATGAGCCTCGTCGAGACTCAAAGTGACTATCAGACACGAAGGAACACAAAAGACCAGGAAAGGAGAACAAGTGATGGAACAAAATCGAGAAAGAGCCAGAGAGAGTGTGAACTAGACGCTTTTCAATTCGTGCAGACACGTGACGTTACACTTCCGCATAGCGCACAAGTGCTTCTTCCTCCCCAAGCCGGCTTTTTCCTCTACTCCACGAAGATAGGGGATGAAAAAAAGCGGCGTCCGTGGCTCTGTATAAAGGGTGATCCGTCAGGAACGGAACATTTATCTAACCCTCTCGGTCGTAACGGAATAAAATAATATAGAAATGTAATTTCTTATTTTTGGAAACAAGAACACGAAGAAAATTAAAATCTTTATGGAAATTTGTTGAATTTATTTATCGTTAATTCTCGTGAAACATTTGTTTATAATGAAAATATTTATTATTAGAGAAGAGTCACAGATTCTCTAATTTTTAATTGTTTGCATAACAGCAATTCTACCTGCACTCAAAGTTCGAACCGTTCAAACCATGCAATTCTTATAATTAATTGCCAGAGACCATCGTTACGTCTGCCTATTGTTCTGTCAGGTGCTGGAAAAGCTCTCGATTTGAATTAATCCAATATGCAGTCACACGATGACGAAGAATAAGACGTGGATGCGTTTGTGATCCACTCTATACGTGTGCAGCATCAGTCAACGTGGTGTTGTCATGGTAACAACACTGGTTCGCGCGTGCCGCTAGCCACAACAGTAGAGGCGTGAAAAATAGGGAGAAGAATAGAGAATGACGACGTGCCAACCTCTCGACAGGACTCTTAACCCTGGCTA